GGGAAGTCGTGGCCTAATGGTTAGAGAGTCGGACTCATAACCCAAAAGGTTGTGGGTTCGAGTCTCGTACCGGCAGGGATTGTAGGTGGGGGGAGTGAATGTACAGCGCTCTCTCCCACCTTCAATACCACGACTGAGGTGCCCTTGAGCAAGGCACCGAACCCCCAACTGCTCCCCGGGCGCCGCAGCATAAATGGCTGCCCACTGCTCCGGGTGTGTGTTCACGGTTTGTGTGTGTTCACTGCTGTGTGTGTGCACTTTGGATGGGTAAATGCAGAGCACTAATTCCGAGTATGGGTCACCATACTTGGCCACATGTCACTTCACTTATATATCAGATTAAAAAAAACTTACAATAAAAATGTTGGCTTGTCAACTAATATAAATGTTTTTCTTGAAATACTAAAACTGGAATAAAAAAAATAAAAGCTAAATAGAAATATAAAAAAAACTAATAAAAAGTATGAAAGCACAAATACTAAAATTTAAAACATTAAAAAAAAACATATTACTACATAAATAATACTAAACAACACTGATTTTTAGGTAAATAACACGACACATAGAGAAGACACCATTTTGGTGATTGTTTTTATGGACTATAGTAATCTTCAATATATAAATCTCCAACTCAAACACAGTTTAGTGTTTGTTTACGTACCCTGGGGTAAAACATGAATTTAATACCCTCGGACGCCCCGTCCAGTGTCACGCCTCTGATCAGGAAACACAGCAGCACCACGTACGGAAACACGGAGGAGAAATACATCACCTACACACAACCAATACTGATTACTATCATCAATAATCACATTACAACACAAAATAAACATCATATATATATATATATATATATTCACATTCATGACACAAACTCCAAGTACCTTTCCGGTCGATTTGATGCCCTTATACATGGCCAGACAGACGATGACCCAAGCGGCCAGCAGACATCCAGTGATGATGGGGTTGAACTCTCCGGTTTCTTCAATGGAATCAGTGATATCCAGAGCTTTACGGTACCAGAAATACGCTGTGGGAGAGCTGGCGGCACATTCCTTCACTGTGAGTGAAAATAAGACAATGCATCTCCACGTAAAAAGTCAGATTTCTGGCATCAGTTCTTCATATCTAATCTCACAAGTGAAAACTACTCATTTTATAATGCACTACACAAACTCCTAATCCTTACCGGTGCCGTTCCCTTCTGTTGGACAGGTTTCCCAAGGTAGAGGATACTTGAAAGAACTTCCCAAGTAAAAAATACTCCAACCGATTATGACGTTATAATACAGAGCTACAAAGAAACACACCTGGGACATAAAAAGAGAACAGGAAAACAGTGTATTAAAGAGTAAATTAACATTGTGAAAATCAAGTTTTAATATTGTTTACATGTCTATCTGTTGTTGTTAAAATGCTTAAAGAAAAACCATATGCGAATTCATCAGTCGACACCATTGCTGAGCATTTCTTTCTATAAAACTGTTCTTTTCTTTCAAAAATAAGACTTGAAACAGCTCCTGTTTCATGTATCAAATCCTGTCAAATTGCAAAGCGGTGCTTTCATATCATTATCAAAGTGTTTCTACATAAGGATGTTGATTTATTATTAGAAGACAGCTGTCTGAGATGGCGAACATTAGTAACACATTATTAGCTGAATAATAACAGTCAATCCAAAGGCTAATGATATCAATTACCGTTAAATGGTCAATGTTGTAGAGAGCGACAGTGCTAGGTAGTAACCGATTACATGTAATCTGGATTAGGGCTGCACGATTAATCGAATGCGATTGTCATGCGCATTTTGTTAAAAAAAAGCCGGTTCTGTAATCAGCAGGAAATCATCATCACGTGCTTTCAGATGGAGCAGAATTTACTACACATAGCCGTAGTTCACTGACAAGTTACGCAAAAAAAATAAAATAAATAATAATAAAAAAATATTTGCAGACAATTGAAGAAATCGTTTGTGATAATGACAGCTGTTTGCACAGCTTCTCAGTGAAGTACGGCCTCTGTAAATGCTGCTCCATCTGAAAGCATGTGAAAATACCACATTTAGTAACATATTTTTACTCCAAACTCACTTCATAACGTCAGTCGAGTGTTTGAAATAAATCCTTCTGTGAGATGTGGCTTCTTACACAGAATAAGGCACGCAACATATTTCATAGTATTTAAGCAGTGATAAAGGCATTGCATTATAAATATACTTTATTTTAATGAAAATTATATCCAAGTACCTTTCCGGTCGATTTGATGCCCTTATACATGGCCAGACAGACGATGACCCAAGCGGCCAGCAGACATCCAGTGATGATGGGGTTGAACTCTCCGGTTTCTTCAATGGAATCAGTGATATCCAGAGCTTTACGGTACCAGAAATACGCTGTGGGAGAGCTGGCGGCACATTCCTTCACTGTGAGTGAAAATAAGACAATGCATCTCCACGTAAAAAGTCAGATTTCTGGCATCAGTTCTTCATATCTAATCTCACAAGTGAAAACTACTCATTTTATAATGCACTACACAAACTCCTAATCCTTACCGGTGCCGTTCCCTTCTGTTGGACAGGTTTCCCAAGGTAGAGGATACTTGAAAGAACTTCCCAAGTAAAAAATACTCCAACCGATTATGACGTTATAATACAGAGCTACAAAGAAACACACCTGGGACATAAAAAGAGAACAGGAAAACAGTGTATTAAAGAGTAAATTAACATTGTGAAAATCAAGTTTTAATATTGTTTACATGTCTATCTGTTGTTGTTAAAATGCTTAAAGAAAAACCATATGCGAATTCATCAGTCGACACCATTGCTGAGCATTTCTTTCTATAAAACTGTTCTTTTCTTTCAAAAATAAGACTTGAAACAGCTCCTGTTTCATGTATCAAATCCTGTCAAATTGCAAAGCGGTGCTTTCATATCATTATCAAAGTGTTTCTACATAAGGATGTTGATTTATTATTAGAAGACAGCTGTCTGAGATGGCGAACATTAGTAACACATTATTAGCTGAATAATAACAGTCAATCCAAAGGCTAATGATATCAATTACCGTTAAATGGTCAATGTTGTAGAGAGCGACAGTGCTAGGTAGTAACCGATTACATGTAATCTGGATTAGGGCTGCACGATTAATCGAATGCGATTGTCATGCGCATTTTGTTAAAAAAAAGCCGGTTCTGTAATCAGCAGGAAATCATCATCACGTGCTTTCAGATGGAGCAGAATTTACTACACATAGCCGTAGTTCACTGACAAGTTACGCAAAAAAAATAAAATAAATAATAATAAAAAAATATTTGCAGACAATCGAAGAAATCGTTTGCGATAATGACAGCTGTTTGCACAGCTTCTCAGTGAAGTACGGCCTCTGTAAATGCTGCTCCATCTGAAAGCATGTGAAAATACCACATTTAGTAACATATTTTTACTCCAAACTCACTTCATAACGTCAGTCGAGTGTTTGAAATAAATCCTTCTGTGAGATGTGGCTTCTTACACAGAATAAGGCACGCAACATATTTCATAGTATTTAAGCAGTGAGAAAGGCATTGCATTATAAATATACTTTATTTTAATGAAAATTATAATAATAAGAACTCGGATAAACCGTATATATTGCCATAGTCGTGTGTTTATTAGTCACGTTGAATCAATGAAAGCAGTTGAATCTTCTGTTTATTCAGCTGCAGTGAGTTTCTTCTGTGAGGCGTATTTGGAGTTTCAGAGCGAGCGCGCCCTCTGGCCTTTAGATGGAGATTTACTGCTGATCATAGAACCGTGCTTCACTGAAAATATACGCATGACAATCGCAGCTTCTGTCGAATCGCAATCTCGATACCATTTCGATTTATCGTGCAGCCCTAATCTGGATATTATGTTAAAAGCAACACGGACTCTGGTTTTTCACGTTTAATACTGTAAAGCTGCTTGAGTTAAGGCTATCGACTGCATAAAGTACTATATAAATAAGTGTGACGATGACTGGACTTTACTGGAGTACCGAACTGCAGAGCTCGTTCAAACATCCACATCGCTGTAATCAGATGCGTTCTTAACTACTGCTTTCTCACCGCTGTCAGTTTTTGTTGTGTTTATTTCGTTACTGAGAGGAAAGCGCACACTCATCCAAACGCCACTCGGCTGCGTTTGCGCTGATGCGCTGTCTCTTCTTCTCTTGAATTGCATCCAGGAGGGCTGAATTAGTCTTGCGATACAGCGCCACACTGGTCAAACTACATTATTGCAGGCTCTTACATTAACTCATATGAGATCAAACGACTACTTGACAAAAATATTTGTCGACAATTTTTTAATGTCGATATTGTTGATAATGTTGACTAATTTCAGCCCTAGTCAAAAGTAATCTTAAAGTTATATAGTTATCCACATTATAAAAATAATTATATAATACATTTATTTGAGTGTGTTTTTTTAAAGGGATAGTTCACCCAAATATTGTCAATGTCATTAATTACTCACCCTCATGTCATTCCAAACCTGCAAGACCTTCGTTCATCTTCGGAACACAAATTAAGATATTTTTGATGAAATCCGAGAGCTCTCAGACCCTACCAAAGACAGCAACACAACTGAAATGTTCCCAGGTCCAGAAATGGGAAACGCGCATGGGTCGTGATACTCTTCAAAATGGCGGCACGCCACAGCAGACAGGATGAGGAGGAGAATAATTGTTAAATAAAGTCTTTTTTTTTGTTTTCTTTGTGCACAAAAAGTATTTTCGTAGCTTCGTAAAATTACGGATGAACCACTGATGTCACATGGATTATTTTACTGATGTCCTTGCTACGTTTCTGGGACTGGGAACATTGCAGTTGCGTTGCTGTCTATGCAGGGTCCGAGAGCTCTCGGATTTCATCAAAAATATCTTAATTTGTGTTGCGAAGATGAAGGTCTTAGGGCTCTGGAATGACATGAGGGTGAGTAATTATTGACTGAATTTTCATTTTTGGGTGAACTATGCATTTAATGCATTTGCAATTGCATAAATAATGCAATTCGATAATTTGTACAATTATTATTTATATACTTAAATATGAAACCAAGGCCACCAGGATTAAGTGTATAGTTACATTTGAGTCATTTTAAGGAACGAAGAATACTTCTTTTCACAGAAACAAACAATTTTAAAATATGCATTTTGACATAAGGCATTTAGAGATAAAAATTATTGACTGAATTATTAATTGCATTTTTGTAATGGCAATTTTGTGCAGTCTGCTATAAAAAAAGTTCAGTTTCTTTATTATGCACCAGTGCAACTGACTAATTAAGCAAGATAATACTCACCGCACAGCTGGAGTAGCCAATGCCAACTAGTTTTGGAGAAATGTGCCTCCAGACGCCGATGCTGCCCTGTCTGATGCTCTGACCTACTAATAAGTGTTCCATTATCATCATCATCAAAAACAATAAGAGACTAATTATTCTAATGCATTATTATTCTACTACAACATTCAAGGGATTAAGGATTCAAAATAAAACATTAGGGTATTAAAAGTTGACTAAAATGGATCAAAAAAAATGAATTAGAGTTTGTAAAAGTCACTCTCAAGCAGGTGGCGCTGCTGGGACTTTGCATCTTATTTCACTCTCAAAGTGACCCAACTGACCAGGACACAAACCTTTACTCTCATATATCGTAAATCTGCCTTGCCAAGTTTAATAACTGCATAAGATTGTTCTAAGATTCATTTAATAAAAGCAACATACAGACTACATAGACTCTACAATGCAAATACAATGCAAAACTTCTTATTTATTATTAAAACTATGCAAATGTCATCTGACTTAAAAAGTAAATAACAAAAATGAATAACCTTTGTCATCATAACCTACCCCTCTTATGATTGATACTGTAGCGGATTCCTCTGTGAAAACCTCCTCGTTGTCCTCTGAAGATCACACACAAATCAAAGAAATGATCCAACACTTTTAAACACTTCAAATTCAGCTGAAATGTCAGGACCCCAAAGACCAACAACACAATAAAATGTGTCGTGACTAAACCATCAATTTCATTTTAAAATGCATGTGCTGTTTCAGCACCGAAAGTTCATTCCTATGGAGTTTATTTTGCCACGTTGTTCCATTGCAGCTGTCAATCACAAGGAAGCACCGCCCAATCAGATCCAAACACAGCAGCCAAGCCCCGCCCACAGCCTTGTGCTTCAAGAAAACGCATGTGGGGCTCGCTGAACAGAACTGACATAACAGTGTGAATAAATAATAAGTACAGTGAAATGTTATTGAAAAATAAGTTAGTGAAAAAAAGGTTCTCAAGACGCGTTTTCTTAAAGCTGAACATCTTTTAGAACGCTATAATTTTGTAATGAAAATAAGGTTGGTCATGACCCCGAAAAACTTTTTTATTATAACCATGTGAGAAACATACTGTATTTCCCAAAGAATATATATGAATTATGACGCGTGTTCCCTATTTAAAGCGATGCCATTGAATCCTTCGCAAATGTTCGTCCAAAAATGACAGACAATTCTGTCCTCATTCACTCATACATGCCTTTCCAAACCTGTATGACTGACTTTCTTCTTAGGAACATAAAAGGAGATGCTTTGAAAAATGTTCAAGCTGTATATATATATATTCACATATAAGAACCATACATTTACAAATGAGAATGTTGAGCTTTTGGTGGAGGGTGACATTTTAGCACACAAGATATTAAATTTGGGTCACAGGAATATTACACATTGGCTTGTATGGTCTTTTATGGTGTGTTTTGTCCTTTTTGGAGATTTACAGCCCCTGCTTACTGTAAAAGAGCAGCTTCAACTCATCATCCTAATTTCCTTATATATGCTTTTGTGTTCCATTATAACATGAGGGTGAGTAAATGATGACAGAGTGTTTATTTTTGGCTGAGCTATTCCTTAAGTGAGTCAGAGTTTCTGTCCGTTTATTTGTAACTGTCTCAACGCTCCAATATTTAGATGCTTATTTAGCTCATTTTGTTGTATTTCATTAATTCCTCATAATAAAGCATCTGAGATAAGCTCTCTGTGCATCAGTGTAAAAGTGAATGTAGGTACTTACTAAAAGTGTCTATCAAGTGTCCTGAACTCGCAGGAATCCCAGCCTGCAGGCAGTCAGACATGTCGAACGGGAGGAGAGAGACAGGGAAGGACACTTTCTAAAGCTAATTAATGCATCGAAACGTCAGTCACTTTTAAACACTCACGTCACACATGCACATGTTTGATCTGTGATCTGTTATGATCTGCAGGTGTGTGACTGTTGATGTGTAACGGGGCGAACGAGACGAGAGACGTGCGGATCCATCTGCAAAGCTTTATTCTTAAACATAGTCAAAACAGGCAAGGGTCAGACAATGACAAACAGGTATTCAGAGGGCAAGACAGAAGAGTGATCCAATAAACAGGCGTAGGTCGATCAACGGCGAACATAATCCAAAGGATGAGGCAGGCAGTAATCCACAAACAGATATTAATCCAGGCAAGGTGCGAACAGAATCCAAACAACAAGACGAGAGAGAAATCCAAGACAGGTAGGTTATCAGGAACAGACAATCAGGCAAAACTAGATGTTACGAAACAGGACTAGAACTAGGAACTAGACTAAACTCAGACAGGAAACTGGCTCCGTAAAGTGCTACCACTAGGAGAGTGATAAACGCAGACAATACTCAGCGATTAGAGAAGGATTTGAGTGGTTGTTATATAAGCTGTGTCTCATTTAGAAGGCTGCACCCTCCGGAGGTCGAATCCTCTGGAGGTCGCATCCTCTGTAGGATGCATATACGAAGTGTCCTCAACCTAGAATTAAACGAGACGGCCTTCGTAGGACAGGCGAAAAAGGAAACCAGAAGTATCGCGTTGCTATGCCAACACATTTAGAGCATCGTTGCGCTCTCACACTGCTTAAATGAAGGAAAATTATTTCTAAATTTGGAAAGTAATTTGAAAAAAAAATGCTTTTACTTGTTATATTTTGTTCAATGTTTGAGGAGCTGCAGCGTACGTACAGCAGGCATCTATTAGAGAAAAAAAGGAGGAGGATATTAAAAACAAGTTTATCCGTTTTTACCGAGGCGAATTAAGGTAAGTTGTAAACACATATGCGCTTGTGTGTACGTTGCATCTGCCGGCACCGGCCTTTTTCAAATGAACAACGGTTGTTCACGGCGACGCAAAGAATTGTGGGTTATCTTTAGCAGTGAAGGATACACCTCATGCATCCTCCGAAATCCTGTGAAAGAAGGTCGCATTCGAAGGTCGCATTCGGAGTGTCCTACTTGCTTTTCTGAAATGAGACAGCCTCGATGACGTATGCAGCCTTCGAATGCGACCTCCGGAGGACGACGCAGCCTTCTTCACAGCTACAGTGTGTGTGTGATTGGCTGCAGGTGAGACCAATCATTGCAATGGAGCATGGGAAATGTAGTCCAGGGTGACGTGCAACAGTTTATGTGGTGTGAGAGACAATGTAATCAGAAGGTGACCTCTGGTGGCGAGCAGGCGGAAGACCCCGGACCGGATTCGTGACACGATGATCTTGATGGGGGTCGTATCTCAATACCTGCTTACTGTGAGTATCATAAAGTGTTTGCCACGCATGCTTGAGTGGTTGCTAGGGTAATATGAATTGTTTTTTCCTGTCTGGCATTAAAAAATAAATAAATATGTACAAATAAAAAAGGGAGCCCCCCCCCCCCCTCAAATCTGTGATATTTTTTTTTTTACATATGGCTTGAGTTCCTCCTTCAATGCAAGGAATAGTAACCCAAAAATGAAGATTTGCCAAGATAGTTGAGTTTGAAAAGCTGCATGTTTGTAAGAAACAAATCCATTATTAAGTATTTATTTCATTTTAAAGCATTGCTTCTGGTTAAAATTGAGTCCTCTCTCCAGTGAAAAAGCAGTCTTGTTGTCATGATTGCTGCCGGAAGGAACACGGAGCCGTGGAATACACTAAATAGTCTTTATTAAATCCCAGACACAGGGGTAAATCCAACTCAGGAACAAGGAACGACGAACGACACACGAACACAACTTAGTAGACCCGACAAAGAAACATGAGGCAGACTACACATTATATACTAGACTTCACGAGGGATAGACAGGTGCGGGGAATCAACTAATAATCAAACTTAACGAGGACAGGAACATGACCAAATAAGGACAAACAGGAACAGAAATGGGCAAAACACGACACAGACAGTCCAGAATCCTGTCACTTGTCTGATTTAGGAGAGAAATATGTACAGCTCAAGCACCGTTTACAAGCAAAAACAGTCCAAAACTGTTCTAAATAAATATTGTTGGTGGATTTTGATGTCAGAGGTCAAAATCCTGCGCCTGTTTATTGGATCACTCTTCTGTCTTGCCCTCTGAATACCTGACTTTTTCACTGAAGAAAGCATTATTATGCATTATGGAATTCAGCCAAAAGCAACAGTTTTAAGTTAAAAGTGCCTTAATGATGGATTTGTTTTTTACAAACCTGCAGCTTTTGGCTTCACAAGATGTTAACTGATGGACTGGAATGGTGTGGATTACTTTTTATCAGCTGTTTGGACTCTCATTCTGACGGCACCCATTCACTGCAGAGGATCCATTGGTGAGCAAATGATGTAATGCTAAATTTCTCCAAATCTGTTCTGATGAAGAAACAAACTTGTATACATCTTGGATGGCCTGAGGATGAGTACATTTTCAGTAAAACGTGGAAATGTGAAGTTGTGGCCTAGTGGTTAGAGAGTCGGACTCGTGACTTGAGCAAGGCACCCGAACCCCCAACTGCTCCCCGGGCGCCACAGCAAAAAATGGCTGCCCACTGCTCCGGGTGTGTGTTCACGGTGTGTGTGTGTGCCCTTTGGATGGGTTAAATGCAGAGCACTAATTCCAAGTATGGGTCACCACCAGACTTCAGAATACAGTTTTGATTGCTTTAGGATTAGCAGAGCTTTGGATAGTTGCCTTGCACTTGTCTAGATCAACTCTGAATGAAGAAAAGAGAGGGTTAGAGTCAGATTCTTGTTTATGTATGTGAAATTTAGCTAGCAGGGAACACAAATGAATTGAGTTATATTTTGCTGTATTCTCTTTTGAGTAGTCAAACAATCAAAACATCTTTAAAACTGCTGCTGTAATGTTGGTTTTACATAATCAAAATTGTGTTGTTATTATTGTCTGATTAATATAAAAAAGCTCTCTTTATGAATTATGAGTATGTTAGCCACCTATAAATAAAGACTTTAGATGACATGAAACGTGGTTAAAAGTCTGTCATAAATGTGAATGTTGGGCTAGTTGGATGGGGAGGGGAGTGTTGTCTGCTGTTATGTCTCACCAATGTCAAAATCAAACCTATGCCCTAGAAACATGCACTTCAGAGAGTTGTTATGCTGGCC